AACATGACGGCAGTAGGAGTAGGTGATGATTACGATTTGGGGGGAGTCGGACTTTGAGTCGGACATATCCGTCGATTCTCTCGATTCCGACTCAGAGTCTGACTCCCAATCAGGAGAAATGAGCGGTAAGTAAAATTATCTGTCATTTTCAAGTCCAATAGACTAAACTGAGGATCGTGTATGGCTATTGTCAGTGACAATGTACATAGCGGGAATATATGAATTATGACTGATTTGCAAGTTTAGTAATTTTAACATATTGGTGCCATTTTGACTTTTCAAATGTTAGACATTTTTACCATGCAATTATTGATACCGCAGAAACAATACATTCCTACATGAATTTTTATTTGAAATAAATAAATCCTCATTTGACTGTGAAGTACAAATATTGTGCAAATTGAAAATTTCAACATGTCCATATGTGGGCAACACTTATTTTTAATAAATCGTAGGAATTGTAGCACTATTCACACAGTAAACAAAGAGAATGTGTATTCTGAAATAGTGTCAACATAAGTACTCAATGTAATAAAAATAACATGTGAATTTTTCATATCAATATTGTCTTTGAATGTAATTATGTACTTTTGACATAGAAGAAAATATGTTTTATGTCAATGAGTACAATTATACAAAAAGGCCTTCTTAATTATTAGTACAAGCATTTTGTGACACAGAGAACATACAGCATATTGACACATATTACAAAATTGAGTAAAGTCCAGTTTTGATAAATTTGGCAACGCTAGAGTTTAGTGATGAATAATAATATGGTGCTTGGTTTCATATGTTTGGTAGGTACATGTATATAAATTATTGTATTTGATGATATTCACAAGTAGATGTGATCTGGGAAATAGATGTTGATGTACATATGTGTTGATGCAATATGTCTGAATTTAAAAATCATAATTAATTACTTGAATTGATGAAACTATAGTTAATACCTAATGTTGTTTTTTTATCTGAGCACATACCATTATTAACAAGGGTTGAGCTTCATTAAGCCTTATGCAACCAACCATAACATGTTGTTGTTTTAAGAGGTCCGTCTGTTGGGGGTCTTTATTATGGGAAGATACCTGTACAATTAATGTGTACTAATTAACTCATCTCTGAATATACTAGCCTCATATAAATATTTACCTAAGTACTCTAACATTGTTAATACAAATGTTACTGATGGACATTTGTAATTATATTGTTAATTAATAAAAACAGTATCTATATCTATGATATGATGGACAATATAACATGAAATGCAATTCATCTTAAATATCATCTTTACTCATAAAACCCTTTCGATTAACAAAAGTTATGTTTTGGTGTTTGCCATTTTCTACTGCGAAGTTATGGAAGCACATTCACAATTTTCATACATACTTCCTACATAGAGATATGGAATAGCTTTATGTACATAATATATAAAGCGAACATTGCTTGATATTCAAAAACCTATGTTTACACTGTTTACTGTGCAATATAATGCCTTGAGTTACTTCACAGAGTAATCATATCAAGTAGGGTTAGCAGGATTAATTACTCCACTCTGCCTAGTAATTTATGTTATTGTAGGGCACAACCAATAAAGTATAATTAACCAAACATAATTTTTTTTATCGTTTCATTAATTATTTTAAATGAATACTTAGAAAATTAAAGTGTTATAAAGTGGGGTATAAACTCAGGGCTCCCACAGGTCAGGCAAAAAGTCAGGGAAATCTGGCATTTCTCTGAAAGTCAGGGAAAATTCAGGGAATTTTGAAATTTCTATGAAGCACAATTGGTTCGATTTCTGAATTAAACAGTATGACACATATTTTCCGGGTTAATATAAAAAAAATTCTTGGAAACAGACATAAATTTGACAAAAGCCTTCTTAGCATGTGATTTCAGATGTAATGCGGGGGGATATAGTCAACGTCTTGTCTGTCTGTCCGTCCGTACGTAATCATATTGTTTCCGGAGCATAACTCGAAAACGGTTCAATATTTTCAACAAAACTTTGCAGATATATCAAACAGAAAATAAAGTGGTGCCTTTGAATATTTACAGATTGTTGTCATTTTATTTTTCTTGGTTGCCATGGAAACGTTTTAGACTTTGTCTAAAAAAATGAAGTTCAACTTTAAGTAACTGTCAGATGATTTGCTGTTTCATATTTGTAGGGGCTGGGGGATTTGTCATATTTTGATGACTCTTGTTTAGCATGGAAAAACACTAGTCCGAGATAGGCATAGTGATTAACAATAGATAATTGTTTGCCATTCAAAACATTTTTCTTTATAGGTCCACCTCGTCTAAAGATAATTATGTTAACTGATAATTTTCCATTCATTTGTATACTGTTCCAAAATATTATAAATAGTATGATGGCTATGGTGGTTTCTTGCAAATTGTGAAAGCCCATTTTGGCCAAAAATACCCATATAAGTTTCTTTGTTAAAGTACAGTCTAGGTTTACAGGGTTCAAAATACCCCATATATTAGTGTGCCATGGCACAGTAAATATTGAAATGGCACGGCTGAAAAATGCTCTCGGTGCCCTTTTGACACGCCTAATGTTTTAGAGACATAACTCACATTTAGTCATTTAATCCCGCAAACAATTATATTTTCCAAACTGAATAATACCATACATATTTGAATGCCAATAAACCCATTTCTTTATTTAACAATAAATTTCAAATGATCATCATCATTGTCATGTATCTAAAAACATGTGGGCATACTTGATTTCTGAAAGGCACACCTAAAATATTTGTCTGGTGCCATAAGGCACACTTAGAAAAAAACGTATTTCTATCCCTGGTTTATAATGTGCCCTATGTTCAGACATTTGCTGTTTATTCACAAAGTTGAAAGTGGTTGAATGGTGTTCATACTCTAGTTGTCATGGTTGTACTGAATGTAAAGTGACATCTTGCATGTTTATTCTTTCCAAATACGCCTTTGATAATTACAACATTTTGTGATAATGAAGAAATGTGTTCCTGACTTTGAATGAAACAATTCAATTAAATCATTAGTTTCACATTTATGCTCTTTGTCAAATGCCCTTGATATACAATACAAAGTTTTCAGATGATATATTACTGACATCAAGTGAGAATATATATTTCATGGTCACAGTCAAATGTATCTAATAGTATTATGTTACATTATGGCAGGAGAGTCAAGGAAAAAATTCTTCATCCCTAATATCAATGTTTTGGTTAATGTAATAAATTAACAAATACTATGTGTATTTATGATATGTGTGAAGGAAATATCTTAACACGCAAACACGGTGGTTAGGACTGACTGAAAGGGAGGGAGGAGGCCAGTTTTTACACTTACATGGTCAGGGAAAATCTATACTTGTCAGGGTAAAGTCAGGGAATTTTTACCTGCCATGCCTGTGGGAACCCGGAAACTACCTAAAACAGAATAGCTGTAGGCCACAGCCCAGATGGTTTTAATAACTATGAGGTCATACCCTTTTTTATTTTTTGTAAATATTTAAGACAATATACTTCTGGTGAATTCAGACTCTTTGCTGAGCTAATTCTCCACTATGACCATCACAACATCATATTAGAAAATCATTAGAAACCACACTGGTGCCATACAGTAGCATCATGATACATCTTTCAGATAATCTGCCAATATAATTTGTATATCTAAGGGAGGTAATACAGTACACAAAGAATTGCATTATCTCCCCTCTAACAGTATGAAAATCCATCATCCAACACTTGTTGAGCTTTAATTCTCACTGTATGAAGCACTGAGCAATAAATGCTGCAGTATTCAGTACAGTCAAGTTATTTTTTCAACGAGGAATGACTAGGGTGAGTAAAGAATGATAATATTTTTCCCAATGATATTAGGATATGTAATCTGAAAAATCAAAATGGTGTCACATCATATATAGGGTGTATTACCTGCCCCATTAAGAAAGTATTATGAACAATCTGGGAAATGCTTTATATGAGCATGTGTCATAAGCCCATTAATATATTTTCCTGTGTTACTTGCATGAAAACACTCTCTAAATGAAAATAAATCTTTCCTTTAATATTTAATTGAGAACACTGGTACATATTACATTTTTTTGTACCCCACTGATGCAAAAAATGATCACAACTTTCAGATGAAGAACTTCAAGAAGATGGAGAAGAAACAGGGGCACAACCAATGGTTCGTGGCCCCTGGCTGCCTGTGCTGGACACAGACAGCTTTGACCTCGGCAATGACATTGACTTTGCCGGGGACTGTGGCCCTGTCAACCCTCCAGGTAGTCATGTCAACAGTACATTAAACAAATAAATGACATACTAACATACATGATTTATCATAAAATGAATGTATTCATTAATGAACATAGGCAATACAATTCATAAGAAATAACTTAATTGTTATATTCTTCAATTTGGTACGTGGCAAAGTTACACATGTTCAGGTATAAATCTGGATATCAATTGAATACTATTGACATTATGCTTGTATCTATCAAAGATATAGGTATGTATGAATGTTTATGAAAGATTTTGATTGTAGGCAAAATGCGAAGATATGATCAATAATGGTTTGTAATAATGATACAGGTTTAGATACAAATAATGATATATTTTTCAGGTGAAGATGCCCCTCCTATCAAATATTTTGATCAACGACTGGGATGAGGGGATGGAGGTGTTGATTTGTTCGACCTGCTGGTCAGGGAGACAAACAGGTATGCAGAGCAGTACATGCAGGGCCGCACTCTAACGCCGCAGAGCAGGGCTCGGGCTTGGAGACCCGATGACCGAGAAGAAATGCGGGCATTTCTTGGACTCTTGTTGGGCATGGGTGTCGTCAGGAAGCCAACCATTTCATCCTACTGGAATGAGGGGGACAAGAACTGGCTGGCATCAACACCTTCCTTCGGGGCAACCATGTCGAGGAACCACTTCAGAATCATCATGCGGTTCCTCCACTGCAATGACAATTCTGCTGCAGTGCCCTGAGGGCAGCCAGGTCATGACCCCCTCCACAAGATAAGGCCGGTCCTTGATCTTGTGAATGGATCCTTCGCAAACACTCACCGGTAAGCTATTTTAAATTTTCCAGTTTAAATTTAACAATTTTTAGGATGAAATGTATGACATGGTGTCTAGACAGTCAATATATCCATTAAAGCCCATCTAAGTAAACGACTAAATGAAATTTAATGATGACATTAACCTTATATTGCATAAATATTGAAATGTTTTCATCAAGATCTTTCACATTATTCAGGCTGGCCCAGAGTGTTTGCGTGGATGAAAGGATGGTTGGCTTTAAGGGACGACATCATCTTGTTCAATACATGGCCAACAAGAAAGCACACAGATGGGGAGTGAAGTTGTGGATCCTTGCCGAGGCGGGTACTGGATACACCCATCAAGTCCGGATCTACAAGGGCAGCAACCTTGGAGGACCACCACCCAGGGCAGGCCTTGGGCACAGTGTGGTCATGGACTTGTTGGAACCGCATCTCGACAAGGGACACCACGTCATCTGTGACAACTTCTTCAGCAGCCCGTCTCTCTGCCATGATCTCTTTGACAGGAAGACGTTCTGCACAGGAGTTGTCGCCGTCCGGAGGAAGGGAATGCCGAGCTCCTTTGTTGGGAAAAGACCACCCAGGGGCTCGACAATTGTGAGAAGACAGGGTCCGCTGCTGGCAGTGCTCTTTTCAGACAGGAGGGTCTTCACAATTTTATCTACCATGGGTAGTCCAAGGTATATAGTATCTTAAACTTTTCAATATCCTGTTTGGCAGTTTAGTCAGTATGATTTCTATTACTTGTGGTTATCTTTCAAGCACATAATATCATGATACAGTTTTATGAGTGTGAAATACCTCAATTTTATTGTGAAGATGTTTTGAATTTACTGACATGATTATTGAATTCTTAACATGTAATGTTTTCTTTACAGAATGGAAGATGGGCTTAACTCACGGGCCGGTCTGTCACTCTCCCTCAGTCGTAAGACTACACAATACCTTGATGGGGGGAGTTGACCTTGGGGATCAACTCATTGCTGTATATGATCCCCAAGTCCGCTCCGTGAAGCTGTGGAAGAAAATTTTAATCAACTTTCTTCTCACAGCTTCAGGTAAGAAACTTTTTTCCCATAGAACTCATAATCATCACTCATTTGTATTATACTGTAGTGTCTGCTTATCATCAGTAAGGTAATAATGGATCTGTTCATATAATTATTGCTATTGCTCTCAAAGTGTACTTGCTGATGACACAATTTAAAAAAAATAGAGTTATTGAATATTAATTGGTACCACTTCCGATATATTTTGATTATAGTGATTCATCAAGAATGAGCTTTTCTGGTGATTATTCGCTATAATTCTTCAATGTTTCTTATCTTTACGTTACAGTTAATGCCTATCAGACCTTCATGAACACCCATGGTAGGACGACCCCCCGTCTGGACTTCCACATGTCCCTTCTCCACTCACTCGTCGGGAACAGTCATGTGACTAGGAGGACTGGCAGACCAAGGACCCAGCCTCCTTCCCGACGACTGACCGGACGCCACTTCATCGAAGTGCTGCCTGAAGGAAGAGGAAACAGTGTGTCCTCTGTAGAAAACGACGGAGGACCACAGATGGCTCTGCAGGGAAGGTCAGGACTTGGTGTCCTGACTGCACTGTAGGCCTCTGTGCCCGCTTTTTCAGCCAGTATCACACAGCCGCTCACATTGAAGAGTGAACGGCTGTATGTACTTGCATATCATCCCTTCAGGCAGTTTCCCCATCTGTCTGCTTAAGTCCACTGTATATAAATTTTTGAGAGCATCACTTACGCCGTTAATTTGCAATATTACAGCAAAATCATTTGATTTTGAGGTTATTGTATAAATCACTAACTATTATTGTCTGTAAATATCCTTCATATTATTTGATTGCGAGTGTATGACTTACGCCATATTTGCAATATTAGAGCAAAATCATGGCGAATTATTGTATATAAATATTTTGATTGTAAATATTCTTGATGTGATTTGAGTGTGAGAGTATGACTTACGCTGTAAATGGTATTATGCAAGAGCACGAACTAAAGCAAAGTCGCGGCGAATTATTGTATATAAATATATTGATTGTAAATATTCTTGATGTGATTTGAGTGTGAGAGTATGACTTAGTATCTAATTATACCAAATGTCTTTCATGTAAATAAATATGTATTATATAATGAGAGATTTCTTTTCATTGTCTTATACATCTGATTAGAACTAAAGTTACAAGTTGTGAGAACTTTACTTTTGAATGAACCAGAAAACACATGCCAATCTCAACTGTTACTAAAACATACTTTTAACCCCTGAAGGTCTTGGATAGAATGAGCCTTCTGAAACCTATCCTGATGTAAGAGGCGACTAACAGGATCGGGTGGTCAGGCTCGCTGGCTTGGATGGCACATGTCATCGTAGCCCAATTGCGTAGATCAATGCTCATGCTGTTGATCACTGGATTGTCTGGTCCAGACTCGATTATTTACAAACCGTCACCATATAGCTGGAATATTGCTGAGTGCGGCATAAAACAACAAACAATAACAATAGACATTAGTCATTATTGGAAAATACTTATTGTAATGGATACTTTGTGACAATACATGTAACTTATATTGTTTTTTTAAATATACTTTGAAAATTGTACTTTACACACAATTTTTTATTATTTATAATTACATTTAAATAACAACCTCATGCAAAGTTTCAAATTACTCAAAAAACAGGAGTCTCGAACACCCTCAATTACTAATTCCTTGTTCAGTAATGAAATGTTGTTTTTATCTGTAATATAACAAGTAATATATCTACCCTAATTACATTTCATGTTTGAAACATATACTTATATCAGTGTAGGAAAGATGTAGTAAAGCCTGTCCAAGTCAATGATATTAGTATATTCCAATTTATCTGATTAAACATGTTTGTATTATGCTTCAAAAGGTTATAATCAATAATATAACAATTTTATATACAGGAATAGGAATAAATACAGTTCGGAAGGTGGACGGGCTATCTTCCTAACACTGCTTATATAACCTGACAAGTCAATGATATCAGTATATTCCAATGTTGAAACATTCACTGGATGCTTGGAAGTGCACAAGATATAACATGATGTATTCAATATACAATAAATAGTTAACAAGTGTAAATGAAACAAAACCATAACCCTTTATTTTGTTGAAAATATAGGATGATGAGAGGATGTTTATTTATATATTAACAAGTGGATTAATACAATTTCTTAAAACATATTTGACAGATTTTAGTCTTATTTCATGGAGTGTCTAAGATATATTTCACTTTTGACCTTGATACCAAGATTTTCTTGTACCAATGACTGAAATGTTGTTTAATTGCCTTATATTTATTTCCATAATACATAACAACTAATACACATCACTTGTGGGATTAATAAAGCTGAAGTTTTGTATAAATCTTTACTCACCTATATACGCATTCGTATTTGTTAATTTTTTTGATAACAAATACTCAGTAATAGTTATTGGTTTTCATCAGTTTTACCATAACCTATCTAAAGTTCACTTTTGAAACTGGAATAACGTAACCAAAATCCATTTGTGCGGTAAATGTCACGAGCAGGCGCGGACCTAAGAGAAGACATCTAGTTCGCGGCGAACTATTTTCACGCCCGTTTTTTCAGCCTATCAAATCATTCAAACATTAACACGTATGCATAGTTAAACAATAATTTAAATTGATATTACCCGCTGAAATGATGTCACCATGTAAATGTAAGATGGACATAAACAGGTCACAACACGACCATGGATTGAAAGAAATATATCAACAAAATGTTTCACACTGTTCAGACTCAGATCTTCATTTCGACCAAATGTTCAACATTCACGAAATACAAAATCACAATTAAATCAAATTTACTGTGCACATATCAGGTAATACAATAACATTGCGATGTATGCCTTTCTTACTGCATGATAGCAACACAAAGTGACGGGAATTGAAAACTGGAAACATAACCTAAGCATAACGTCTAGAACGTTAAGGTCACTGCGTTTATCGTGTACAAAGTACCACAGTATGGCAGATTCCATGCATTACCCAGCCAAATCCCTCACATTTACCCCACGATTACGACATAAGGTTCTGGCACTTACCTTCTCGGTTGCTGTCGAACTGAATAAAACACTACAGGACCAAATAAAGTAAATCCGAATTCCGACACACCGCTGAACATTGTCGGCGACATTTTTAAATATGCAAAGCTGTCGACAAGACAATTGCACATTTGAAGCATTTCTGCTTCAAGTATTTGTTTATTTGTTGTGACATTTCTACTTGTATTTACCATAATGGTTGTAAATGAAAATGAAAACATAAACACGTCTTTCACTAATCATACAGATACGAGTCTAACTCTTTCATTCGTCTGTATGCAAATTTCGTCGACGTGTCCGCCATCGCACGGTAGGAGTGTTTTGAGCAACGACTTAATTGAATGGGACCGTAATAAATGCTTTTGGGTGCCAAAGAAGTAAAAGGAAAACTATTCATTGGGGCATGATTGTTTCAACATTTTCTGAAATACCCATTTTAAACATTCAAGTGAATAATGGCCGCTAATAATATAGATTTACTGCACTGAAAAAAATCCAGCAGTGTGTTCAGTTTAGATTCCGAGTTGTTGATTTGTTTCCCTCTTTCTTGAAAAACGTCAATACTGCTCTTACAGACTATGTTTTACGTCAAATTGTATATGAGAACGAAGGCAATTAACTGCAGATTTCAAGTATAAAATTTCATTCATATATCACGAAAAGTTTTTCCATTCATAAGCGTTTTCCGACAAGACATCCATGGGAAAACATTGCAGTGTAACCAATTTACGGGCCAAATGGCGTCATACAAACTTCAACGAATTTGTAATCGACGATTTCGCTGGCTTTATTTCCGCTACATATTTCATTTTCAACATGGTAATTGTGAATCAAACGAGCTTCCATAACATGTTTTCGTTTTGTTTATTACTGCAAATTTACAAGCTAACGAGACGCACGAATGATCCGATGCGCAATGCACAAAAAATGGCTGCCGTGGAAATTCTGGAAAAAATACATATTCTACATTTTTGACAAGCTATTTCTTACGCATAATGAAGCCAATGCCATAAAATATTTACATAGACATAACGGGAAATAAATGAACTTTTACAGTGTGGATTTTTAACATTGTGAGTAACGCCGATGCTGTTTGACGTACATTTAAGACGAATGTATGCAATTTTCATAACGTCTCGCTCAAATGAACTCGGCACAGCGACAACACACGGCTATTTCTATGTGGCAGCCAGGGGGTAAATCCTTAACCCGCCGTTAGCTAACCGAACGTTAAAAAAGCGTTGAAAAGTCCATGTTTAACACTGCCGTTTACTGACGTCATGGTTATCTTTAACATCATGGTTAAAGTCGTGGTTAAAGTTCTATCAATCCCATAATGCAATAGTTTGTTTACTTCCGTCAATGTCAGAAATGGAGGCACCAAACGAGATATCACCGCCTAAACACCTAAAAACCAAGAAAGAAAAGAAGTAGGAATATTTCGGTGGAGGAAGAAAACACTTTTCAAAGCTGGATGGAGGACAATTCGAAAATATTAAATGAAAAGCACAGTAACGAGGTTACTAGAAAAAAGAAAAATCAAATTTAGATGCAAATTACCAATGAAGTCAATACGAGAGGCGTTGCTTCAAGAACCGTCGACGAGGTAAAAGAAAAATGGACAAATATGGCCCGTAAGGCAAAGAAAGTATTTACAGACTTTCGTATGCAGGCAAGGAAGACGGGAGGTGGCCCGCCTCCACCAGAGCCCAGCCAGGCGACTACTCGAATAATCGAGATCATTCGGGACACAGCCGGCTTCAGCGGAGTGTTCGGTGGAGTCGAAACGGGGTTTAATGAAAGTAAGTTTCCATGGAAGTTTAACATAGTTGACGCATTCTTTTCATGACCGACAATTGTTTTATAATATTTTTAATGAATAGATCTAGCTCAGAATCCGATCTCTTTATCAAGCCTTATATCACTTGTGTCGTCTGTCAGTGCCCGCTGTGTTTACACTCTATTTTTAGTAAATGGCGACCTTGAACTTGGTGTATTTGGGGTGAGAGATGTTGTCAATGTTCAATCGTGAGAAGCTGCATTTGAAATCGAAAGGTTACAATCTGCACTGTGGGGAATATAATATAGATTTGTTAAACAAATTCAATCTTTGAGACACTGTGAGTAGCTTCTAATATCCTATCTGGAACGATTATTGTGTACCTCACTGGTACAACGAGCCCATTAATTGTAACAATTTTATTAGTCCTTCGACAACACAAGATCATAGATGTAATTGGTGCATACAATTTTCTCAGCAAGCGGTCGATCCAAAGTTTTTTGTCGATATTGCTAGAGTATCCATATAATTACCTGGCGTAACCAAAACTCAGTCATTCGTGTCAGTGGTTGCTGCGTGGTGAGTACCCAAAAGACGAAGAAACAAGATTGCATACATTTTACGTATTGTAATTAGACTTAAATATGTAGGGTACAATTACATGTTCAAAAAATACTTATCATTAACGTGTTTCTGTTTAAATTAAACTGAAATTTAATCCCTATAGGTCATGCTTGTATACATTATTTTCATTATCTCTACCAAATTTAAAATGGTATTTTAATTAAAGTTGAAAAAACATATAGATCCTATCATTCAACATTTCAGTTTGCATTACATTTAACAATGAAATACAAATAAATGACGAAGTAATCATATATATGTTAAATTTAATTTGAATCACTAAATTTAGATTTGCCTTAATTTCAAAATTGATATAAAGTTCTGAAATTTAACAAAAATTGAAACATTTTCAGGCAATGAAGAAAGCACATACAACAATCTGCTAGAGGCTGATATTCCTCCAGAATCAAGGATCGTAACACCACCTCACATTATCAACCCTGAGGAAGCTGCACAGCCATCAACATCAGCATCGACATTAGCACCGATGTCAGCACAGACGTCATCATCGACATCAGCATCGACATCAACATCAGCACCGACGTCAGCATCGACATCAACATCAAGCCATCGAACATGTGGTAAATCCTCAAAATCAAGATCTAAAATGTTCAGCAAGAAAGAGCATGGCGTTGATAAAGTATACCAGCTCCAGCAACAAGTGCTGACAGGGGAACTTGAACTTCAAGCAATGAAAAAAAGAAAACTTGTATTACAGATTACACTCTTGGAAAAAAGTCTTGACAGTACTAGTGATATTATGGACAGCCCATCAAAGCTTCTCATGTCCATGTTGAAATAGTTAGTTCCATATTGAAGTAAAATAGGTAAAATCACATAGGTGATAGCTATCAGTGTATTTAATACTTTAGTCATTTTATAGGAAAGGATTACAAACAACACATAACATTTCTTCTCACTATTTTACTTTTTGTATGTCATTTTTCAGTAATACTTAGGTAAATTCATGAACATTTGAGCTTCGTAATGAATTATTGAATATTTAATTTTAGTGTTGGCATAGCAAGCAACATAGACCAGCATGACATATACAGTAGGTAGTGTGTAGTACACTCACAAGAGAAAGTATATTCAGACTACATGCTTTTTTATGGTGAATGTTATAGTGGTGGTCTGATTAATTGAAATAATCGAAGATTGGTTGCATTGAAAAAATGACTAAGCAATTGATCATGTTTTCTCATAATCGAACACAAACAATTCTTGCACACTTGTTTGCATTCACAACATTTTTCACAAGGTTGGTTTAGTATGTTACATTTCATAACTGCTACATGAATTTATCATAAAGATTCCAGGAAAGTTATGTTCCTAGCATACTAGTCATCCTTTAAATATGTAAAATTTGTAAATGGATTTTGTGCAATTTGCCAAAAAAACCAAAAGAACTACATGGTTTTTTCTATATTTTCTTCGATGATTGATCGGTTGTAATGAACCAATCATCCATTGTGAGATTTTAACCATTTCCCAACACTATAATGTAATACAATGAAATATCAATGATGGCATAGCAAACATTATAGTCTAGCTAACCGATACAACATTAAAGTAGTGCATAATACACTTATAAGAGAAGGTATAGTCAGGCTAAGGATATTCCTTGGGCCATTACCTCTGGGACTTTGACGTGTTGTTATTTTTCCAGTGTTCAATGTGATATAATGAAATAACAACTAAATTTTTCAATAAATTGTTATGATGTCTTATATTGCAATATATATTTTTCCTAACAAAAAGAAGGAATGTGTGATATTGAGCTTAAAGCTATTACATTTAGAAGGAGGAGTCGACATAAGGTTTACTGCAAATCCTTTTTACTGTTCAATGAAAAGGAAATATGTTGAATTTAATATTAGTGATTTTTTTTACATGAAATAATAAAGATATGTTTTCACTATCAGACTGTGATAACTTTTTTCATTGAAATATTAATTGTTGGAATTTATGGGGTAATACACGAGAAGAAAATTATGGAGGGTGAACTTGCAGAAAGGTTGATATCTACACTCACTTACCTACTGTTAGAGTGTAATTTAGATCTTGGGTATTTATCATTCTTTATCTTTATATCGTTATTATTTGATAATCTGTTAAAATTGCATTATTTTGTGTTGTATTGAATAAATTATATGTAACAAGTACATTTGTGTTGTTTTGTCCTTTAGATATTGATTGTTCCTAGGCATGTCTATTCCTGTTGCAATAATAATGAGATGCATTCCCACAATATTATATATACACACATATGTACATGTATGTATGTATGTATGTATGTGTGTGTGTGCACGTATATGTTATATATGTGTTTGTGTGTATATATATATATAATATTATTATGTAATAATAATATTTTCCTTCATAATTTAATGTGTGAGAATATTCTTAGGATTGAAACATATCTTTACTCAGTATCAATATTACCTCAGAGTGTAGGACATGGAAACGTCGTTTCCACCTGCCGAATGTCCTCTCAAGTGTCACACGTGTCGCGCATGGGCTGTCATTGTATCTCTGTTCTGGTTGTCCATGGGGGTTAAAGTAGGGCGTGAGGAGGAAAGGCCTACACGGGTATCCGTTGTCTCCTAAAATGAAACCGTCAGCAATCCTTGTGTGATGTTGCTCAAGATGATGACAGAGTGCAGATGTCCGGAATATGTGGCTGTCGTGAGGGGCACCTGGCCACTTGGCACACACGTTTGTTAACCTTCCCGCAAAGCAGGTGTATATACAAGCTTAAAAAAGTCACATTTTAGGTGTGCTTCATTTCACTAAAATACATCAAATTAAGTGTACTTGTCAATCTTTACGATCATTAAATTGATTACAGTTATTCCTCACAATTTATGATTCATATATGTTGATATGAAATGAACTTTAGACAAAAAATACATAAATAGACTGAACACATTCTGGAATGGTCACGTATTGCGTATTTTTTTCAGAAATGGATTTTATATAAACCAAGGGACGTCACTCTCAGGTATATTGCCATACTATAGATCTACCTTCGTGATCACATACAGCTTGAACGTTGATACTGTGGTAACCTTTTCTGTTCACATAAGCAGGTTCATCTCTTGTTGGAGCTTGGATTCTTACGTGTGTACCATCTTTCAGCCTATTACGTTAGGAAACCCACCGAGTTGGTAGAATCCACTCTGAATAGTACGCAGGTGCTCGGCGTCGGTTGGCCAAGTAATGTAAGCGTCCTTGCGTGCAACGAGGGCATCAGTGACATCTCTAACCACTCGTGAAACACAACTCTTGTCCACACCCAAGGTATCCCCAACCACTTGGAGAAAACTCCCACTCGCATAAAATCGCAAGGCAATTAAAACTTGTTGCTCAACTGTAAGTGCGTATCCGCGATTTGTTGGTCTTTTAAGATCGTCTCTCAAAGTATCCACCAAATACTCGATAGACCTCCTTCCAAACCTGTAACGCCGACGCAGTTCACTGTCCGAATAGCCTAGAATGTTTAAATCGTAAGCTCTATAAACCTTCTCTTGTCCTTGGTCCTTTAACGGCACCATGAACGCCGCATTCGGTTGAATGATCAACGCCATCTTGCCGATGTTAAACAACCCGGTTAACTATTTAGCGGCGGTCCGTAGGTATGATAACTTTAACGCCAAGATAAGGAAGGGTTAAAGATAACCGGGTTTTGAGAAACACTTTAGCCACTTGGTTAATTTTAACGGCCGGTTAAGAGTATTTAACCAGTGGCTAAAAGATAATCGAGTTTTGAACAACCGGCCCCTGGATCAAATGACAGTGGCACAAGCAACTGCGCCACCATCCTTAGACCCATCTGTAAATAAGGTTTTGTATGTATTATATTTACTTTTTAATTGATTATATTCTTTTTTATATTGTAATTCATTAGTTTCAGCTTTTTTAAATGCTGTTAATGTTAGGTCAACCTTTGGCCTAACCAACTGCCAAGGAGGAGAAGAAAGAAGACGGGAAGGAGATATATTTTCCAGCTCAATGCCGACAGCATAAATGAATGGTTTAATTCTCAAACCAAGAGGCGGACTAACATAGTCACTCAGTGCTCCTTGAAATAAGATAATTTCGTACCTTGAATAAATATGTTTCTGTTCAATAATGTGAATTTGTATCGACACAAAGTAATGCAGATAACTAACATTGTATTGAATGAGTGATTTAATATTGTACTTCGCCATTGAGATTTTGCAGCCATATAGCAATGAGAACAAGGTGGCTGTTTGTATTAATGCCTGTCTACAAAGGATAGTAAAACAGTAAGGATGGTATCACAGTTTAGTAAAAAACAAATATATAAATAATAAGACAAACAATGTATCGGTATATAATTCAGGAGGAATTTAAACTACTGGCCACAAGCAAACAAACAAGACCACCTTACTGGGATCACTGGGAGTTACTGTGCTTCTGCTTCCTGCATGATTCCGATCTGTATTCTCTTTGGTCACAAGTGGTTGTATGTAATGCCAACCAATATTAAAGGACACATATTATGATCTAGGAATTAAAACACTGGTTGATGTTGATGTAGATTCCTAAGATGAAACTATAAAGTTAGCCAGGAATCAGTCCGTAACAAACTAGATGGGAAACAAACAGACAACTCAGAAATATGCTGTAATTTACAATTCTATTCTAAAATTAACAAAGCAATACAAAACAATGTACAGGTATCACTTTGGCAGTATAATACAAGTGATTATAGCAATAGAGACAATGATTGCAATATTCACCTCTCACGTTAACGGTAATGTAACTTGGAAGAAATGCCTAGAAGGTGTGTCCCGATGTAAAGAATGATCACACAGCAATACTGGTTTTCTTGGGGCTTGAGTTGTAATATGGCATCAGGAGCAATCACTGTCTCCCCTTATACACCCTAGAATCCGTCCAGAAACGTCTTATTCTCAGTGTCTGGAAATGCCTATACGGTTGGATCACAAGTCAAAATGAAGATTTCGCCACTAGATCCGTCGACGTTGATGTAGTCGTTGCAGCACAGGGCCGAAATAGGGTCTCCTGACTCGAAGTTGAGCTACTCGTAAACGGATACGAATGGTTTGCTCCAACACTCTCCTCAAACCTATCGGTCCAATTCACTAATAATTGTACTCCGGTCGACATTTGATCTGTGTGCATTTAGACTGGTTATTGACGTACCTGTTAATATATTTGTTAATATGGCATATTTCTGCTTTTAAAATGGAATTGTCATTTAGCAATATTGAAGATGTTGTTACCGTACCACAATCCTAGGGTCAATCTGTGGAGATTGATTTCTTAACCCATCTATGCATATTGTCCCTTTTTGTGATGGGTACGTAAAAGAGCATTGCCCTCGTATTGTTCAAGATAGAGACTTGCGGTATAGAAGTGAATGAAGCTGAGTAAATTGCTTAGTGGTTGAACCATTCACTTTACTTGTAGAGTCACGTCCCTTTAAGCCACCTCCAGTAGCAAGGCAGATCCCCTGTTAATTCGGTGAAGTGTGAGGTTATGTGGGTTTTTTCTTGGTCCCAATCTTAGCTATGTGAGTTCATTAGAATGTGTTTCAATATTTCGCTATTCAAATGGTAAAATAAAATGAAAATGGTTTACATTGTTTTCCATACTCAACTTTTGGTCAAAATGCCGTCACAAAAACGGGACAATCTGCTGATTCGTGTACGCATTTTAGGTAATTGGTTAGGATCTGTATGAACAACTTCCAAAACCATGTGTCACCATGGGCGATCTGAACGGGCACAGTCCGCTTTGGGTAAGTGTCCATACTAACAATAAAGGTAAAATCCTTGAGGAATTTAACGATGAATCCCAACATGTATCTACATCCAGCTACTGGAACATATTCTGCCCTCGATCTGACACTGACGGATTAAACCTTGTATAATGAATTTGGATGGCCTTGGCCGTGATGACCTACATTGTATCTGGAAGTGATCACTTCCACACTTCTCATTCGTAAAACTCTTAACCTTGTGATGATCCTCCTTTATCAAGAAGGAACTTCATCCAAGGATGATTGGTCATTATATAAGACTCTAAGTATTGAACACGTGACACATGACCTTTTGATCAACAGTGAGGATCCCATACAGCCGTTTTCGAGTATACGTAACAACATTGCTGACAAAATCAATTGCACAGTCCTCTGCAAGTCCACATATTCGTAAACCATGGTTCAAAAAATGAATGCAAACAGGCCAGAATGTGCAGGACCAAATCCTAAAAGTATGGTCGATGACATCCTACCGTGCATAGTTTGAATAAAGTTAAAATCTTAAATGTCAAGGCTCGACGCGTATTTAACGGAATATGAGTCTGTCGTGGAGAAATTATGTTTCTAACATATTTTGACGCACACCAATTTCAAAGGTGTGGAACATGGTACAAAATATAAAGGGCAAAGGTTCGAAATCTACCGTCCACCATTTCAAGGACGGTGATAATCTATTAACTGCTAGAGCTGGCATTGCCACCAAACTTTGTGACACTCTCGCCCAGCAATCGTCTTCATCCAATGTCCCTGAGTTTCAGTACCACCAGAAACAACCTTTGTGATGTACTCTGAGTAAAAATTACTATTTAATATAGCAAACTAAATCTATCATTGTATCAACATATAATACTTACTATGACGTACCAAGAAATTCTTAATCAAGGTCCTTCACTTTCTGGGGGCGGTGGGGTAGCTTAATGGTTAAAGCGTTGGCTCGTCGCGCCGAAGACCCGGGTTCGAATCCCCACATGGGCACAATGTGTGAAGCCCATTTCTGCCGTCCCCCGCCGTGATGTTGCTGGAATATTGCTAAAAGCGGCGTAAAACCAAACTCAGTCAGTCAGTCAGTTCTTCACTTTCTCCACGAAAGATGCATACACTGATACTGCCATTTTATCGAGCTCGTGAATGCACCTACCCAACACTGGAAAATAACCCTGTACCTATCTGTGCATATCGTCTTATTTTAGGACGCACTTTTGCAGTGTAAAGAGTGAGTCAGTGAGTTAAGATTTAAAGTCACATCGGCAATATTTCAGCCATATCGTGACTAAAACTAGTTCTAAATGCAGAATACATACATATAATATATAAAACCCTGTCAACAAAGGACAGTAAAAGTACTAGATTATCACAAAATGATTTACAACTAGCTAGCATATATCTGTTAAAAATAGAAAACTATATTTGGACAATACAATGTAAACATGGGCTATAGATCGCCAACAACTAAAGGTAGATCATCATACTAGGGCCCATGGGTACTTATGCAGTGTAAAGAAAGTACGGAAAATGTATTTACTTGTAAAATGACACCCCATTGCTTTCATTGCTTGCCAATAGAAACTAGCTCACATGTCCCTATTCATTTTTTTCTGTTGTTGGAACAGTGGTAGTGAGTAGGTTTGTTTCAGATTCTTTCAGTTCAGATAATGTTCTAGGTCCACCACTGGCTTTACTAATTGCGATGGGGGAGAAGAGAGTAGGGGCCATGTTTACTGTCAGTACTAATATTGGCTGAAAAATATCTGGTTGTAGTCTTATTCAAGCTGGAGGGATAAGTGTAATTTGTTATTGTATGATGAAGCGACAGTCACATACAGAAATACATTTAGTAGAACATAGTGGAGAAATATACAGTAAAGAAATGGAATGGGACAGAAATTCACAAGATAGGCACCCCTTGAAGAGCAACCTCCTCGTGGTGGGTGCTGGGTAACGCCAATGGCTCTTCGCCCCCGTGTGGACCCGGGGTCGAATAGGTCCACAGCACCCCATTGCTGGTTGTAAGAGGCGACCAAATTGGGCAACCCGTTTGCCGTGGGTTGCATCCCTGTGTCGGCAGAGGAAGGGAGTCTGGTGGTTGAGGATGACGGAACCGGCAATAGTGTTCAATAATCCAACACACCACTTCGACCCTAACTTTGCCTAGACGGGTGGTAGAATAGGCCCGATTCTACCAATCGGCTGGTCACGCCTTGCCCTGTGCATGGAATGTCTATACAAAACGTGGTATCACATAACACTTTTGACCATGTTCAAAATGTTAACAAATATTCCACCAAAACAAACTAGCCTCGCAGACCCATGCACAGAAGGCGGTGGCTCATGGGGCCAATCTGGTGATGCTGACCTCCGATTTCTGTACGTCTCCAATTGATTGTCATGGACAGAACCATCCTGACCTTTAATCTGGTAGGCAGCTACTGGCATTTCATGTCAAATTCGCTGGAGTATAACACCCCCTTATCCCTGGTCTTTGCAGCTTGGAGACTCGCTGCAATATAAGATCGTCCTTGTTGACACTCCACGGTGGGTGGGGAGAGGGGATGCTGAACCACATTACTAACAACATGGCTTCTCAATACCCCGGTTCAAAACGAAGACACATGGATGATGACAATTCCTCGTCTGACGAGAGTACGCCCCTCCGACCTGACTATGGGCCACGTTTCCTGATCATTGAGGCTTGTGACAAGCAACCTTTGCAATTGAACCCTTTCGCAATCTCCAAAGGTATCGCTGGTATCTGCGGAGAGGTTGCCAATGTTACAA